AAAATGTCAGTAATCAGAACATTTTATCACCGAGCAAACATGATAACAGAAGAAAGAGACCGTAAACAAGAGGACAAACACATACAGCACGCTTTAAAGACCTGCGGATACCCGACTTGGGCAATAAACAAAGGAAAACAACAAACAACAACAGAAAGAAAAAAACAACCAAAGCAAAGAACCAGCAACCCAAAAAGACAAGAACAAAAACCAGTGATAACCTTACCATACATCAAAGGCATAACAGAAAAAGTAAGAGCAACAGTGAAAAAACACAACATAAACACACCAACAAAACCATACACAACAGTTAGAAACAGACTAGTACACCAAAAAGACAAGATACCAGCTGGACTTAAATGTGGAGTCATTTACGAAATCCCATGCAAACTCTGCAATAAAACATACAAAGGAGAAACTGGACGCCAACTCAACACACGAACAATAGAGCATAGAAAGGAGTGCGAGAAAGAAACAAGTCGAAAACACACAAGAGCAGCAAAAGAAGAAGCAGAAAGCCCAATAAAGAAGTCAGCCGTAACAGATCACTGCATAAGAGAAAACCATGTAATGGACTGGGACAACACAAGGATCATAAACACCAAACAACAGAAATACAAAAGATGGATAAAAGAAGCTATCGAGATAAGGAGACATGGATGTGGGTCCATGAACAGGGACGATGGAGTTGACTCATTGGATCGCGCATGGGACTGCATCGTTGGAGAGGGGAGAGCGGGCAGCAGAGGGCGACAACGTCCTCTGCTGCCCGCGGATAAACGGAGAAGGAAGTGACGCCGCCATCAGCATCAGCCTGATGAAGTTTGCAGCCGCAAACGAAATGTTGCAGGTAAATAAAAACTTTCTGTGTTTTACAAAGAACTAAAAGATGGAATTAGAATTTCAACACAGCAAGAACACACCAAAGAAGTCATGATGTACTGCTCCAAAGCCTTGAGATTCCTTGCCATCACTGAAAAGTCTACATGTGACCAATCCTTCAGACTGAGGCAATCACTCATGATGATGTTCTAGAGGATCTGAGAGTGGGATACATTCTGAACTACATTCTGAAAGGCTGCAAATCTCAAGCTTAGCCAGAATAGTTCCATTGATGAGCAAATGATCCCAGTCACAGGAGCTTGTCCGTGTTGAAAAGATCGGCCAATGAAGCCAAGTTAGCCTAAAAAACTATGCAACAGCAGATGGTATTGTGCTGGACTTTGACATTTATGACGAAGCACTCCTTGAGCAGATTGAAGAACCATGGGATCTGGGTTTGTGAAGCTTGGTCATAGATCGTCTGTCTCAAACGTAGCATCCTAATACAAATGTTTACTGTGATTGGTCCTTCGTGTCCATCCAAGATGTGGAACTCATGATGAAGAAGCATATGTGTGCAACTGGTACAGTTTTGAAGAATCAGGTCGCTGCAGCAGTACAGAAACTAGTAAGTAAGTAAGTAAGTAAGTAAGTAAGTAAAAGTTTATTTATATAGCGCCTTTCACAGATATAAATCACAAAGCGCTGTACAACATGATAAAGATCAGGGCAAATACCTCTAACCAATAAAAACATCAGAAAAACAATAGCAGTGATAAAATAGAAAATAAAATCATGAGTATAAACAAAGTGAAGGTGTGAACCCGAACAAAGCCATCTTTTTGAAACATTTAGGGAGGGAACGCCTGGATGAAAAGGTGAGTTTTTAGATGATTTTTAAAGACCTCTACAGTGTTAGAGAGACAGAGATTAGAAGGTAGACTGTTCCAAAGTCTGGGTGCAATAGTCTGAAAGGCCCTGTCCCCTTTGGTTTTCAGTCTGGTTCGAGGAACAGCCAGGAGGTTTTCAGATGTGGATCTAAGGTTCCGAGAGGTGGTGTGTGGGGATAAAAGCTCAGATAGGTAGCCTGGAGCCTGGTTGTTAAGAGCTCTATAGGTTAGGACTAAAACTTTAAACTGTATTCTATATTCTACCGGGAGCCAGTGGAGGGACTGTAAAACTGGGGTGATGTGAGCTCGTCTGCTGGATTTGGTTAGGAGTCTGGCTGCTGCATTTTGGATGGCTTGAAGGTGTGAGAGGGAGGTTTGGCTGAGACCAGTAAAAAGAGCTTTACAGTAGTCTAAGCGTGATGACACAAAGGCATGGATGATTTTTTCCAGATCTGCAGTAGAAACCAGTTTACGGACTTTTGAAATGTTTCTCAGTTGAAAGAAACAAGAGCGGGAGATGGTTTTGACGTGAGTCTAAACTTAAAGCTGGATCAAAAATAACTCCCAGGTTTCTAATGTTGGTCTTGGCTGATGGGCAAAAAGAGGCAATTTCTTGCTTGATGTTTGGCTGAAATTCCGGTAGTGCAGCGATCAGGGTCTCTGTCTTGTTAGCATTGAGGACAAGAAAGTTGCTGGACAGCCAGTTACTGATCTGGGTCAGGCAGAGTACAAGTGTGGCTAGCCTGTCCAACTGGTGTGGCATAAAGGACATATAGAGCTGAATATCATCAGCGTAGATGTGGTAGGAGATGTCTGGGAAAGACTGAACGATGCCAGCTAGGTGAAGAATATAAAATGCGAATAGTAGAGGCCCTAGAACTGAACCTTGTGGGACCCCGCATGTTAGAGAGGCAGTATCTGAAGAGAAAGTTTCAGACTTCACTGTGAATGTTCTGTTGGTGCGATAAGAAGTGAGCCAGTCTAGAGCAGAACCTGAAATCCCAGCCAAGGTCTTTAACCTTTTGTTGTTTTTTGGCTTCCAGCCCTTTGGATTTATTTTTTGTTCATCCTAAATAAAAGGATTTTTCTTTATATCCACTCCTGCCTCGTGTCATCCTGGGTTCTGCCTTTTGGGTCCCAACCTCCTCCTTGCTCGCATCGTGACAGTTCCCACGGGGAAAAGTTAGAAGTAGCAGTTTTGGAGTGAAATGTTTCCTGTTTCATGCAATGTTCTGAAATCTTTTACTTTTTTGACTTTACAAACCTCTTCTTTCAACTGTTAGCAGCACATCAAATAAGACATATTGTTCAAAGAGGCATAATTGTTGGTTTTTGTTTTGTTTTTGTATGAAATAAAAAATGCTGCTGCGTTCAGGAACCGAATAATGACTTTTGCACATCATTACTCAATTGTAACTTTATAGTGTTCTATCAAAGTTTAAAACGAACGTTCTCATGTTCTCATCATTTTCTCAGAAACAGCAGCAGGTACAAAGATAATTCTTTGGTTTTACGTTCATCAGGTCCCATTCAACCCAAAGAGGAATTAAAATGCATGCCACGATTTGGGTAAGCTAAAGGCAGAAATTATGTAAAACTTGAGTAAATTTGACTGTTGTGATGAATCTCCCAGTGTTTTTTTCTGTGGAGCCTTCGGCCCTGACATTCTGCTGTTCCTCTGAGACCCAGATGTGAGGAGTTGGTTAATCTGAGAGTCATAAATAAATGCTCCCAGTGACTCAAGCTGAGATAAAATATTTCGCTCATCTGATTCAAGCTGGAATTGGTATTTTACATGACGGACATATTTTTCCAGCTGCAGAGCTCCATTGTTGCCAAGAACTATTAAAAGTACATCAGTCAGTTTCATTTCTCTTCAGCCTGACGAGTTCCTTTGATTCAGCAAACATTACTTTGTTTTATTATGTGTCATTTGGAGGAAAACTCCCCCATCCATCACATCAGCATTTTCCACAATTCCTCCTGAATGAAAATGGTTTTGTCTGGAAGGAACCGTTTATGGGTCATTTGTGCTGACAGGCAGGATGTCCCAGATACCTTACGATGGGATTTATTAAGATGGAGGAAATCACTCTTAGTGTTGTGTCATAGGAATTTAAATATTTCAACTGAACGTTAGCAGATTTTCAAACTTCCTACATGTCCTGAAATATAAAATGTGGAAAAGTTGGTAAAATTACAGGATTGTGGTTAGTATGGATTTTATTTTATTTTATTATATCAGGAATTTTGTCCCTTGTATTCATTTTTGTTTAATTATCTCTCAGCTACCAGTTGGTTGTGCACAGCTGTCTTCCATCAGGACACCTGTCCATGATTTGAAATCGTTTTCAGTCACTTGTCAGATCTTCCAGTTGAATCATCTCCTGCTGTCTCCATTATATTAGTTGGTTTTTTTTTTTTTTGCTTGGTCCTTGTCTTTAGTTTACATTATTAAAGAGTTCACCTGCCTCCAAACTTAACCTTTACTTGGGTCAATAATCAAAATGTGACTTTATGTAGCAATGACAAAGCTTTAGAGCAGTAGATCACAGATTTTGGGTGAAGACATGTTGGTATTACAACTTTTTGATGTGTTTGATGATTATTTGTAACCCTGGCAAAGTCCTGATTAATTGCAAACACTAACCAAGTGGCTTTACAAGTTGCACGCTTTTATTAGGAGTTTAGCGGATATTATAGGAATTCATCATCATATTGATTTTAAATTGACCTCCATCTTTCTGCAACAGGTTATTCAGACATGTTCTTGTTTATTTAAACATTGAAGCAGGCAGTGATCTCAGACTGTAAATAAAAATGAATAAGACCAAAAAACAATCCTTCATAAGACTACAGTTCATTGTTTTGTTATCAGAACAGTTTGTCTTGTTTTTGTCAAGCTAAAAATGTCGTTCTGATTCCGATCATGAAATGCATGTTTAATTTTGATTATATTTATTAATTTCTTTCAAATATTTAGAGGTCTATCTACCCCCCCCCCCCACACACACACACACACACACAATTAAATGAAATATAATTATTATAAAGGTCACATTTCAGGGGATAAGCAAAAACGACAATGTGTTAATGAATACAAATATTTAATATAGTTGGGAATATTTAAATTAGGACCAAGGCCAACCACGTGCACCTCAAGTCAAACACACCTGCCTTCAATCAGTCATTTATTTCTCCTCATCCATTAGCTTCGTTTATTATTATTTTAGGGTCACAAAAGACATTTTTGCGTTAATTTTTCCGTTTTTGGAACGAGCTCACACGCAGATTTCATTCCGACATAAATCCTCTCCGGAAGCGGATCGGCGTTAGGACCCAGCTGCAGCAGAGGTACAGTAGCGAACATCTGTCTCCTCTGTATGAACTGCGCCTGGACTCCAGTCTGAAGACACACATGCAGCAGCAGCCTGGCTCTCGGCTCGCTGAGGACCGGACCGGACCGGGATGTGGGACGAGGCGTCCGGACCATGACAGAAAGTGGAGCGAGACGCACTAAACCGCAGCGATAAGACATCAAAATGAAGACCCCGGTGGTAAATGTTTGTGCCATGTCTCCAAACTGTGTGCGCGCTTTTTATTCCCCTGTTTCTCTAATCCCGCCTGGTTCCGTCGGCGCTAGGGTCGCCGCTCCGCTGTGTGTGATGTCGGATCAAAAGATTAGGATCAGAACAAAAGGGATCCAGCTGTGAGCGCTGTTTGGCACTAAGCTCCGGAGCGCGGGCGGCGCGCTGGGTGCACGCTCCTCATCCAGTCAGAAACTCACATCCTGAAAAGTGGATGCAGCTTCTCTAGTTTATGCTTGAATAAAGGCGAACATTGTTGAATAAAAAAGTAATAAACGTAGAAGATGCTGGCACAAAACTAAGTTGAAGATCCATCAGTGCCTTGAGGAGAATTAATATTTAGTTGCACCAACATGTACATGCATGCATTTATTTTCCAGTAAATGTGCTGAAATCCCAGCAGGAAGCAGGCGTGGATCTCTAGGATGTCTGGTATTAAACCTGTAACTCAGTCCAGTTCAACAGGGCTAATCTGTCAGCATCTGCTTGTCTTTGTGTCAGCGCCATGGGGTAGCCGTGCTCCTCGTGCTTCTCCTGTGTGCCAGCCTGTTCCTGGTGTACAACGGGAGCTTCAATGGTGCTTCCAGGGACACCAATGACACGCGCATCCGACAGCACGAACAGCTGCAGCGACTCCCCGAAGCCCCAGCCAGTGTGGCAAAGCCTCACCTGCCGGTCCTCCAGGGATACAGTGGCATCATCGACCATAAGGTAAGCAGATGTGGCGTCCTCCTCCTTTCCGATAATCTGGGCAGTGAATGGTATTGGATGTGCATCTAATGCACTTCAAATTAGAGATCGGACCCTTTGAAAGTGAAGCTAGAGTTGCATTTCTCCATTAGGAGCCCAATTCTGCAGCACATCTTCCCTGTTTTCACCCCTCCTGAAATGCACCAGTGCACACACATCTTTGTTCCATCAGCTCTTTAGAGACAGACAGCCTACTTCTGTCATTTATCACAATTTTCTCCAGCAGCTATTGCGCCACGCTCAATACCCTCCTGTCACTACTAACAGTTTAGGCTGCAAACAGAATCCTCCTCTCTAATTGATGAACCCATGGGACCTGCAGCGAGGTGAACCCTGACGTCACCGTGGGCTTGTATTGACTTTATCTGTTTACCGGGCCAGGAGAAAACATCAATGTGAGTAGTAGGGGAGCTAAGAAGACGTATTCATTATGGGATGGCTTTCTAACCAGGAAACATGCTGCTCGATTAGCTGTTGGCGTCTCCTAACACTTTACAACTCGAGTCTTGTCTTTGTTTCACCTTTTCTTGGTGGTTTATGACATTCTTTATTCTGTTGTGAGGTCTTCTTTCTAAAGCGTTTCATGCATTTCCTTAATTTTAATGTTGCGTCCCCACAAATGATTTTTCATTTCTTCGATGATAATTTGGGATATTTCTGAAATCGCTCAGACGGTTTCTCTTTGGTCATTTGCATTCTTCTAAAATCATCGGATGGATTTCTCGTTTTGTAGCTTTGCACCCATGGTGTGCTTTGGGTGGTTTTTATTTACTTTGATTGGTTGTCATTTTTAGTATTTTTTTCTCCCAGAGGTCCTTCTTGTGGCCTCCGGTCTGGTTCCTCAGTAAATCCGTCTGTGGCAAATTCATCAAGTCACTTCTAAAAAAATCTTATCTTAAAGAAGCGAGTCGTAATCTGAAAAGCTGGTATTAGATCCTCAGATTATGTCATGTGAGGAGTTGAATAGCAAGCTGCTGCTCTTGGACGAGTTGTTCAGATTAGATGAATTAACACAAGCGTCTATCACCAGCGGAAGGAGCTGCTGAACAGCCTTCTGGATTAAACCCCGCCGACCGTTTCCTCTTGCTAATAATCTGAGTTTCTCTGAAATCATAAAGTTTTTGTGTTTTGAAGCAAAGGAGCATATGCAATGTGGAGGTGAAGCAACATGAAGCAGCTCATAATGAAGTGATGATGATGAAATGTGTGAAGAGGATTATTGGATTAACAGTCATCATGTCTGGTGTGAACGTGGATGTGAAGTGGGAGAATTGACCGTTCCTCTAAATCTGAGGTGCTAGGGTGGGATGCTCACTCCGGGTTGGGAGTGATTCTCAGGTTTTGTTCTCTAGTGATGGTGGAATGGAGCAGCAGATGCTCCTACGGTTTTGGAGTTTCATCTTCAGTCTGGCCAACCCCCAGCTTTCACCATGAGATGTGGATCATCTGATGTGGATGATGGAGATCTGGAGCTTTTTCATCCAATGGGAGCTCTGTGTAGAGCCGTTGCTCCTCTAAACTGAAATGAGTCAGCTGAGGTGGCTCCAGATTAGGATGTTCCTGGTCCCCTCCCTCGGGAGGTAACTGAATTTTCAAATGGGTTCAGAATTCACATGGCAGGAACATCTGACTGGGTGGACTCTCCTAAGAAGACCCGGAGCTTGTTGGAGGGTTTGTGTATTGTCTCTGGATTGGGAAAATCCTGAGGGGAGTGGGATGTTTGGGATTCCCTCCTGGAGCTGTTACCCACACTTCCCAACACTGGGTGAAAAAAGAATAGATGGAAAGGTGGTTTTCATTTATTCTAACAAGAAAAGATCCATGGGGAAGAGGGTGGGATTATTTCAGTTCACATGTAGCTAAACCAGGAAGAATGAAGCAGCATCATATTAAACTTTAATTTTTTTTTTCAAATGAAGTTGAACAAAGAGTCACAGACCTGTAACGTTCAATGTTAAAAAAAAATCTGATCATCATAAAATCCGAATGTATTTTATTTTCTGCGAAGCCAAAATAACCAGAAAGAGGAAACTTGTGCAAATTTAGCACTAAAAATGAAATGGAGCTCTGTTTTTTGAGTTATTTAGCATCATAATGGCTCCATTTCTGGAATAAAGTTTCAGGTCCAAGAGGGAACAAAACAGTCTAGTTTTAGATTTTCATGATCTAATTAAATTTTGTGTTTTTTATTGAGCAGGAAAAAGAAATCCTCCCAGAATAAACATTTAGGTGCGTAGAAACCTTAAGATCTATTAAAAGCATCATTAATGTGTGTGACTGAGCAGAAAAGTCTTTCAGGTTTTTTTAACGTAGAGCTCGAATGTTGCGAGCGTCGCTGCATTCAGACAGCAAAGCTGAAAACTAAAGTTAATTAACTGATTCGGAGCCCGGCTGCTTTGTTTCCACAGCTCCGCTGTTTGGTTTTAGAAAAGCATTCAGGTTAAAATGTTAAAATATGCAAATAATAAATTACAGGTTTGCCTACTGAAGTTTGGAAGTTGCAGCAAAACTTTCAATCTTTATCACTTTTTTTATGTTTTTCTTGCTTAAGTAATAAAAATCAAACATCTTTAAGTGACGCTTCAGAATTGGATGCAAACCTGCATTGTTTTCCTCTGTTCTTTATGCTGAGTGGTCTGTAGTTGTATAGCGCCTTCTTAGGGCTCTACAACCCCCCCCCCCCCCCCCCCCAAGGCACTTTACAAAACGATCAGTCATTCACACACTGGTAGAGATGAGCCACAGCTGCCCTGGGGCACACTGCCGGTCCCTCCGACCACCACCAGAAGGCAAGGTGGGTTAAGTGTCTTGCCCAAGGACACAGCAGCAGCATTCTCTGGTCGGAGCCGGGATCGAACCTGCAACCTTCTGATTTCTGGACAACCCGCTCTACCTTCTGCGTTACTGCTGCCCCTTTAGTCAATTTTTATCTTTATTCTGTAGAAAAAAGGTCATAAAGGCGGTTTGAAAGAGAAGCTGAAGTCTTGCATCTTTAAAATCCCACACATGAACTCAAAGTTCAGCTGCTGAAGATGAATTAAAACACTTTAGACTTTTGAAAGTAGATTTTCCAGGTTTTGTCGTTCAAATTAAATCAGTTAGAACGTATTTAAAGTCCGTTTCCTCCAATGATGTTTAATTATTAATGCTACCATCTTTGACGTTTGAAGGCTGAAGTGAAACCACAGCAGGAGAGCATGTAAACTCATACGCTACATAAATGGCCTCTCTTCAGGCTCAACTTTGTATATTTTTGCTCTGGTCAGTACATCTGAGGATGCTTTAAAGCTTTTTGTGTTTTAGAATCAGTCACTCGGCCGTCTCATGGTACCTAAATTAAACGTGCAGTACGTCAGAGCTAGGGCGGTCGGCGGGGCTCGTAGCCCAGAACGCCAGCAGTGGCCGTGTGTTTGGGCTGGATGAGGATTTGTCTGAGGTGCGTCAGCGAATGCTGCTGTGGATGGGAATTGATTTTCCTCAACTGAACTGGAGCCACATCATAAGTAACCCCCCTTCTGTTATGATCTTATTGACATTTTGGCGACAAAGGACATCATTAGGGGTCACAGCTCCACTGGAGATCATTGATGCTTCTTCAAAAGTGCTGCTGTGTCACCATCCGTTCCCTCTCCACAAGCTGTAATCGATACTTTGATGATATGAATGCATTTTTCTGTTGCACTGTGCCTTCTTTCACAGCATGCTTTGTAAAAGTTGTCATCCTCGTCTCATATTTGTTCTCCCGCAGTTCGGAACGATCTGCGTTTGGAAAAATACACTGACCTGAGCAGTTGTCGTCTTCTCCTTTGCTTGCTGACCTCTTTGCTGTATTGATCTGTTGCAGATTTAAGCTGACTGGCACAAATGGCACGGTGCCAGTCGGCCTTTGACTGCTTCATTTTATCGTCCACTAGAGTATCAAAGTCATCACTGAAACTCATCAGAAAGGCTGCTTGTTTCTGCAGAATCTCAGTCATATTTAACACTTTCCCCAACTCCACAGCTGTATTTAGTCTTTTTTTCTTCCAACATGCATTACATTTTCTGTACTATTTTCATTGGAGCATGTTTGATGTAGGTCAGAATGGGGGGTTACTGGTTAATCTGGGCCGGTGTCGTAAAGGAAAGAGACCAGAAAAGGAGGAAAACTAAAGATGGAGATGGAAAAAGTGGGGAAATTCATGGGGCAAAGAGAATGAGAGAGAGAAAAGGACAAAAATGGGGAAGGGTAGGGAAGAAGAGGATAATAAAAGAGCATACCGGAGTCAGGGAAAGGTTCAGCTTGAGAGAGACGAGGCAGCAAAGGAGGGGAAGGATACAGGAGTGAAGGAGTGAAGTCCCACAGAGGCCTGCGTTCCTTCAGCATCATCCTGATTTATCTTCTCACTGAGGAGGAGGACTGAGTGGAGATGGTGCAGCGACACCAGAACCATGCAGATTCCTGGGCGATCAGTCAGGTGGAGTCGAGCTAACGGAGGAGTCTCATCAAGCAGGAGGAGCACCTTGATGCTGAGCTGCAGACGAACTACGAGTCTGGCTGTTCCCGCCTCCGAACGATGCTTTCATGTGATTTAAAAGTAAAAGCTTAAACGTCTTGAGGAACTGTCAGACGTGCGATGTTTCTCTTTTTGTTCTCTTGTTCGCTGTTAAAACCTGCAAATGCAGTCCACACATGGAGCTAACTGCTGACACGCTGAAGATTCATCTATGTTGTGGTTTGCTGTTGGGACTGCTGTTCCTTCAAGCTGCTAAACTTGGGTAGAGAACAGAGGGCTGCTAAATTTGCTTTCCTCTCTCATTTTTAAATCTATTCCACTTTTCCAGGACTGTGTACCTTTTTTAGAAACGCATACATCAAGACCTTCACCTCTGTCATTCTGTGAATTGCTCCTCAAACAGATGTGGGCGCTAAAGTATAACGCAGAAATGATGGGATTGGCCCAGCCTATGTGGAAGAGCTG